TTTAACTTCCAGTTAATATACAGACCTGGAACTAGAAATAAAAAGGCTGACGCTCTTTCTCGAATTCCTTCTAAAACTTCTATTGATGTTTATCCTCCTAACAAAATAATAGGGATCCTCTCTTCTCTTCAGGATGACTTAAGGAACTTGAATCAAAAGGATCTTGAACTTCCCAAAACACCTAATTTAACAAAAAAGGATGGTATATTTTACTTTAAAAATAGAATTTATATTCCTCCCATTCTTAGGAACAAATTACTCAAAATGGTTCATGATTCACCCCTAGCTGGACATCCTGGAATAAAGAAAACTCTTGAACTAACTTCACGATATTATTGGTGGCCTCGCCAAGATAGAACCATTGAATTATATGTCAAAACTTGTCCTATCTGTCAAAGGTCCAAATCTGAACATAATCAACCTTTTGGATTACTACTTAACTTACCTATTCCAGAAAAACCTTGGCAATCCATTTCTATGGATTTTCTTGTTGACCTTCCTCCATCCCGACAGTTCACCACTATTCTTGTTGTTGTGGACCGCTTCACTAAAATGTCCCATTTCATCTCTTTAAAAAAATTACCCTCCTCCGTAGAATTGTCCAAAGTCTTTATTGATAATATTGTAAAGCTTCATGGTCTTCCAGAAGAAATTATTTCTGATAGGGGGACACAATTTACCTCCAAATTCTGGAAGGAGATGTGTCTCTCTCTTCAAATTCAACGCAAACTCTCTTCCGCCTATCATCCCCAAACTAATGGGCAAACAGAGAGAGTTAATCAATGTTTGCAACAATATCTCCGATGTTATTGTTCATACCTGCAAGATGACTGGACCACATGGTTACCTATGGCTGAATTTTCTTACAACAATACCATTCATTCTAGTACGAAAATGACTCCTTTTTTCTCCAACTATGGTTTTCATCCGTCCTCATTTCCCATCCCATCTAATTCTTCATCCAATCCCATGGTTACTTCAAAAATTGAATTTATGTCTTTTCTATTCCTTAAATTACGGGAGAATCTTCAACTCGCCCAAAACTACCAGAAAAAGTTTTTTGACCATAACAGAAGAATTCCCCCTCCTTATAAAGTGGGGGATCTTGTCTGGCTCTCTTCAAAAAATATTACCACAAACCGTCCTTCAAAGAAATTGAGCTCTCTTTTTCTTGGTCCTTTTCAAATAACTACAATCATCAATGATAACGTTGTTAAATTAAAACTTCCTCCAAGTTTTAAACTTCATCCAGTATTCCATGTCTCTTTGCTTAAACCACACATCCCTGATCCTTTCCATAGAGAATTAGTAACAACTCCTGAACCTATCATCGTCCAAGGTGAAGAAGAATATGAAATTCATAAGATTTTGGATTCTCGTATCCACCGTGGCTCTTTACAATACCTTATCAGATGGAAAGGTTATGGAGTTGATGAAGATACCTGGGAAGATTCATCTAATGTTCATGCAAAGAGATTAGTTGATGCTTTTCACAAACGCTACCCCTCTAAACCGAAATAAGTGCACCCAGAGGATGCCCCATGAGAAGGGGGTACTGTCAGGTATACCTAACATTCATGCTGCCGCCGGAACCCACTTCCGGGTTCACGGCGCTTAGCTCCGCCCCTTTTTCTGACGCAGTCTTTCCACGATACTTAGGAAGACCGCGCCAGATTCAAAGTGCTGGATTATTCACTCAGATGCGGCAGTGAGATCAGCTGCTCTACTCGATGCTACCGGCTCCACTTCTCAGACCTCGGCTTGTAAACGGATTTCTACCTTCTCATCTCTCAGACCTCGGCTTGTAAACGGATTTCTACCTTCTCCTCTCCCAGACCTCGGCTTGGATAAACGGACTTCCTTTCTCTCACTACTAAACTGCAGTTTGTTAAAAGAGACTCCTTCCTCTTCCTCCATTGGGTGAATTAACCCTTCCAGTGCCAGAGTGCTTCTAAGTTAAGTAAATCTTTTGTCAAGGAAAGCAAGTCATATCAATTGATTATAGTATTTAATTTCTTTAAACTCTCTGTTGACAAATAAGGATTGCTGCTAAGGCTAAAACTTCATTATTAAAATTCAAGTTGGAACTAACTTGGCATTTTCCTGATTATTATTTAAAGATACAGTCCACTGATTTCACTCCAATATAATAGGAGATGAAACTTACTGTTCCTGCCCTCATAATATTCTGCAGTTGAGTTCCAATTAAAGAGGTACTACACAAAAGCATCACAGTTATCATTACAATAACATTCATAAAGGCAAAGAGATCTTCCTTGAGGAAGACCTAGGGCCGAAACATTGGGGTGCTGTGATCTCCAGCTAAGGTCAGTATACCTATGGTTACACTAGGTTTATGTATTCAACACTTTTTGCCTGAAGTAATATGTGGTTGGTTAAAAGGTGAATACTCTGTATATTTGCACTTTACCACTTATGTCTATTATTTAAGTGAATAAAAACGTTTTGTGCAATATTTCTTGGTGTGCTATGGGATTATTTGTGTTAAAGTTTTAAATGTTGCCTTTAGAGTTATGTACTTAAGTGTGGGCAATATAAATTTAGGGTATACTTACAGGTTGATTTACTAAAATGATTACTGAAAATTACTTCATATTGGAATTCACATTTAAATCCAGATTAGCTATAATGGAAGCAGAATTTTCTTACAAATACATATTTTCCAAGTTTTGACTTTAAATGTTAAATTTATTTGAATTCTCACATTAGTGAATAATCATGTTAGGAGTACTTAGGTTGAAATACAGGTTAGTTTGTGGGCTACATCTGCACTCAAGCTCTACAAATATGTAGCAAAATTAAGCTAGTGTCATAATACACAACACACAATATATTGGAAGGCATGGCCTGAAGTTGTGGGAGGGGCTATAGACCTATAAAAGGGTCTATAGACCTTTGTTGGTCAGACAAATAGACTATTCAAGGTCAGCATTTGCATGAGATCCACTTCCAGGTCATACAAGACGCCATTTTGGTTTCACCTCCTACTACAAGCTGTGTCCAGGAATCTTACAGTAGGACTTTCCATTAATCCAGTGGCTTTCTCTCCGGTCAGCATCGCATTTGGTGTCTCAGGGACTCTCAAACCGTAAGTTGACCCACCTGTCGTGCCAGGATTAGTTCCCACGGCTTTCAGCACAGCACGGGTCCTCACTTTACGGTTTCCTTTCATTTTGCACGGTTATTTCATTACCTTATACTCACCTAGCTGTTCATGTAAAATCTGTTGTTTAAAATCTGTTTTGGTTAAAATCTGTTTGGTTAAAACTACAAACGAAATACGATTTTTTCGCATACACACTAACTACAGGCATCTTAGACATTATTGCATTTCATGTACAAATCAACGAACCACTGCATTTGCACCTACACACTGACCCCTACCGGTCATTCGGTGTATTACAGGCTTCTCAGACATTATTGCATTTCATGTACAAACCAAAGAACCACTGCATTTTTCACCTACACACTGACCCCTATCGGTCATTCTGTGTACTACAGGCTTCTTAGACGGTTTTTGCATTTCATGTACAAACCAATAAACCACTGCATTTTCACCTACACACTGACCCCTACCAGTCATTCAGTGTACTACAGGCTTCTCAGACGTTATTGCATTTCATGTACAAACCAATGAACCACGGCATTTTCGCTGCATGCTGACCCCTAACGGTCGATTGGTATACTACAGGCTTCTCAGACTTTATTTCACTTCATTAGGCAAACAAACTAACAGCAGCATTTTCGCCTTTATACTGACTCCTATCTGTCAAACGGTATACTACAGGCTTTTCAGACATATGGTTATTCCCCTTGTAATGGCACCCCAGGCATAAAAATGTCTGTTGGTGTCTGTGTGTGTGTGTCTGTTAGTGTGTGTGTGTGTCTGTTAGTGTGTGTCTGTTGGTGTGTGAGTGTCTGTTAGTGTGTGAGTGTCTGTTAGTGAGTGTGTGTGTCTGTTAGTGTGTGTGTGTGTGTTTTTTACTGTGAGTGTGTGTGTGTGTCTGTGTGTGTGTGTCTGTTAGTGAGTGTTTGTCTGTTAGTGAGTATGTGTGTTTCTGTTAGCTAGTGTATGCGTATCTGTCATGCGTATCTATTGTTTGAATGAACTAACCTAGGGTTAACCTAGAGCACACATATTCTAAACTCCCTACTGGGATTGTCTCTAAAACAAGTCATTGAGGAGCCAACTCGTAAAGAGGCCATAATAGATTTAATGTTAACAAATGGAGATTTGGTATCAGATATTACTGTAGGTGAAAGTTTACGATCCAGTGATCATCAGTCAGTGTGGTTTAAAATAAGAACAGTGACTGAGTCACACAACACAAAAACAAAAGTTTTAGACTTTAGAAAAACAGACTTTTCTAAAATTAGAATATGTGTAAAGGAGTCATTATCAGACTGTAACAATTTAAATGGAGTCCAAGAGAAATGGGATTATTTAAAAGTTGCACTATTGAAGGCAACAGAAAATTGCATTAGGCTTGTCAGTAAAAGCAAAAAATTCAAGAAACCACTGTGATACTCCGCAGATGTGGCCAAAATAGTAAAAAACAAAAAGTTAGCATTTAGTAATTATAAAAAAAAAACAGAGTGAGGAAGACAGAATTATCTATAAGATTAGGCAGAAAGAGGCTAAGCAAGTTATAAGAGATTCCAAATCACACACAGAAGAGAAAATAGCACAGTCAGTAAAAAAATTATTTTATTGATTTTTTTGATTAGGTAACTAAAATTATAGATCAGGGTGGTGCAGTAGACATTGCTTACCTAGATTTCAGTAAGGCTGTTGACACTGTTGCACATAGAAGGCATATCAATAAACTGCAATCTTTAAGTTTGGATTCCAATATTGTTGAATGGGTAAGGCAGTGGCTGTGTGACAGGCAACAGAGGGTTGTAGTCAATGGAGTATATTTGAAGCTTGGGCTTGTCACCAGTGGGGTACCTCAGGGATCTGTACTTGGACCCATTCTCTTTAATATTTTTATTAGTGATATTGCAGAAGGTCTTGATGGTAAGGTATGTCTTTTTGCTGATGATACTAAGATATGTAACAGGGTTGATGTTCCAGGAGGGATAAGCCAAATGGCAAATGATTTAGGTAAACTAGAAAAATGGTCAGAATTGTGGCAACTGACATTTAATGTGGATAAGTGCAAGATAATGCATCTTGGACGTAAAAACCGAAGGGCAGAGTACAGAATATTTGATAGAGTCCTAACCTCAACATATGAGGAAAGGGATTTAGGGGTGATTATTTCTGATGACTTAAAGGTAGGCAGACAATGTAATAGAGCAGCAGGAAATGCTAGCAGAATGCTTGGTTGTATAGGGAGAGGTATTAGCAGTAGAAAGAGGGAAGTGCTCATGCCATTGTACAGAACACTGGTGAGACCTCACTTGGAGTATTGTATGCATTACTGGAGACCGCATCTTCAGAATGATATTGATACCTTAGAGAGAGTTCAGAGAAGGGCTACTAAACTGGTTCATGGATTGCAGGATAAAATTTACCAGGAAAGGTTAAAGGATCTTAACATGTATAGCTTGGAGGAAAGACGAGACAGGGGGGATATGATAGAATCATTTAAATACATAAAGGGAATCATCACAGTAAAGGAGGAGACTATATTTAAAAGAAGAAAAACTAACACAACAAGAGGACATAGTCTTAAATTAGAGGGACAAAGGTTTAAAAATAATATCAGAGAGGGTAGTGGATGCATGGAATAGCCTTCCATCTGAAGTGGTAGAGGGTAACACAGTAAAGGAGTTTAAGCATGTGTGGGATAGGCATACAGCTATCCTAACTATAAGATAAGGCCAGGGACTAATGAAAGTATATAGAAAATTGGGCAGACTAGATGGGCCAAATGGTTCTTATCTGCCGTCACATTCTATGTTTCTATGTTTCTAGAGTAGGCAACATTTAGTACTCCAAATGTTGTGGACTACATCACCCATAATGCTGTTAGAGCCATAATGCTGGCAAAGCATCACAGTAGATGTAGTCCACAATATCTGGAGTGCCAAAGGTTGTCTAGAGCCTGCTAGCTGTACTTGTTAATTGCACATTTTCTTCTGGCTAATGAGCATAATTTATTGTATGAGTTATTCTGATTTAATGATAGCTAGTGAAATTGTCTGACGTTGCTTCTGTTAGTCCCTTTGCTAAACCGTCCTCTGAGCATAAAAGCAAAAAAGAAAGGATGAAAACTCTGAGAACAGACAAAGGCTTAGAGAGACTCAATAGCTTGCCCTTCAGTACATCCCCACACTGGTCTCAAAATAGTTTTTGCTCACTTGTGCTATTACAGAGAGAACATATCTGAAGCATATCCGACTGGTCTCATCCGTACTTGCAGTCCAGATCCGAAATGCCAGCAAGTTCCCTCTACACAAGAGATACAGCAACTCCAGACGATCATTTTGGCCTTTTTTTGGGCCTTGTCAGTGAGGTGTAGGTCATATCCCTCTAGGCACAATGAGCATGGGGTCCACATCTGGATTACCCTTTTCAACTTGGGGTGAGCCAAGTTAATGCATTAAAGCAAAAAAGAAAGGATCGGACCTCTGAGCATACTAAACAAAGGACCAGCATTAAACATGAGTTTAACTTGTATCATCACAGACATTCAACTGTCAAAGCCAGAACAGTTAGTACATTTTGAAAACAATGAAGATTATGTAATTTAGTTCTTTAAGTTTTATATTTCTTACTAAAAAGGTTTGGAATAAACATAAGAATGAAAAATCCCACATAAGCTTTTAAGAAATATCTCTTTGTACTGACAGCTTAGTCTGCTGACTACTGCAATATTGTTGTTTGGTTTACTGAAGAGACCAATTAAAACTAAACTCTTGTTTCCAAAGGTATCATCAGAATATTCACTTCAAACATTTCTTCCTATTAGGGGGAGGGTAGTGTGGATTAATAACAGATCATCTGTTTTGTTTATCTTTATCTCTAATTTATTGTAAATGGATAGTCAGTGAGATGTGACATCAGGTATCAGGTTATATACAGAAGTTCATATTTTATTTTTGTCATGATGGCTTTCTGCTATAGTTCGAGGTGATTCTTGTGTATTTCAATAGGAGTAATGGAGCTGACATGCATTCCCCCAGCAACCAGTCCCAGAGGGAAGACATATGCAGAGGGTTCAAGCCTACCTACAGATTGATACATTTTATATATTGTTATTCCTTTTTATAAATTTTTTGATAAAAAAAGTAAATATTTGTAAATTAATATTTATAGATTCTGCAGACATACCACACATATAAATATAAAAGCGTAATAATATGTTGGAGCTTATTCACACAAAAGATTATCCAACAGAATGTTAATGCAGAAACACATCTTAAAAACATATCCATATAGAAAAAGAAGAAGCATGCAGAGCTAATAAACAACAGCAGACTGCTATGGTTATGGAAAAAAAGATGTACAGGAAAACAGGAAAATGTGTACAAATAAATAACTATTAAAGGGACACTGTAGTTACCACCATTGAGTTGTCTGGGGGCCAACCCCCATCACCCTAAATCCTGCAAGTGTAAATACTGCAGTTTTTATAAACTGCAATAATTACCTTGCAGGGTTAAGTCCTCTTTTAGTGGCTCTCAACCAGAGAGCCACTAGAGGGACTTTCGGTTCCTTAGACAACTTTTGGTCATCTAAATGATGCTGGACATCCTCACGCTACGCATGAGAACCTCCAGCGATGCCGGAATCACCACAGGAAAGGGTAGGCGGAGTCTGACCAAGTGCCGAGGGATATCGGCACTGAATTCAGGTAAGTATCTGAAGGGGTTTTAACCCCTTCAGCGACGTGGCATGTGGGGCGGGAGGGAGATGGGGACTCCAGGATTCTGCAGTGCTAGAAAAACGGGTTTGTTTTCCTGACAATAGAGAATCTCTTTAAGTTCTATCGTATAACTTAGCTACTCTAGGATATAAGAACTGACAATTCATAATTAATAGAAAAAAAAACATGTACAAGCACTGATACAACAAGTAATATGTGCAATCCTTAGATGGATCTGTAACAACAAAAAGAAAAAAAGAGAAAACAATATTTTATCACAGCTAGTTAGTGATGTCCCGAACGGTTCGCGAACGGTTCGCGAACCGTTCGCCACGAACGGTTCGCCATGAACGGTTCGCCGCGGACTCATCATTGAGTAAACTTTGACCCTGTACCTCACAGTCAGCAGACACATTCCAGCCAATCAGCAGCAGACCCTCTCTCCCAGACTCTCAAAGTTTACTCAATGATGACTGTGTTATGATATGATATACTGTACTATACTATACTATATAATCACAAAGATGACCCACTATATTCCAAAACAGAATCACGGATCACTGGGATTATTATAGTAGCAATGTTTGGATAATGAAATAAAGAGAAAATAACAATAATAATAACCAATAAAGGAAAGGAGAACTTATGTGCCCATAACAAACATACATGGATAAATAAATTATTTACAAACCAAATATCTCGTTATATACTGTATATAGAGTAGCTCCTACGTGCCAATAAATGGGGTAAAAGTAAAACCCTCATTTAACCCTTTTGGGGCCAAGGTATCAAATTTGTAGATCCAGAAGCATTCTTTTTTTTTTTCCCATTTGGATTTTTTCAATACCAGCAAACCTTATACCTCTGGGTGAATACTTATGATGTAGTCTGACATGTCTAGCGACAGGGGTGTCTTTGTAAGTTGTCACTGAGTAAATATGTTCCATTACCCTTCTTTTTAGGGGGCGTATGGTTTTGCCCACATACTTAAAGCTACATTCACATGTCAGGAGATAAACCACTCCATAGGTATTGCAGTTAGAAAACTGATTGATTTACAGTGCCGGTTGAATCTGTTAGTGTTTTAGATCCTTTTGCCATGTAACAACAACCTACACAGCGGCCACATTGATATGTGCCATGTACTGTGATCAAGTTTCTTTTTATATCTGGTGTTAAAAATGGCTTGGTACCAACATTTCTTTTAGGTTTTTACCCCTTCTGGCCGTTCGAGAGACTCTCGGGGGGACAACATTTGTCAAATATGGATCTAGTTAAAAATTAAATAAGGTAGGAACACTCAATATGAAATATATGCAAGCTCCCAAGTGGAGCTCTCTGAAGATACAAGTTACGGAACTCCCCGTACTCCGACCGAGTACCTTCCGTTGATAGACGCTTCCTAGCCTACGCCGAGGATCACAATTACCGCACCGGACACCACAACCACCGCAGACTCCACAACCGCCGTAGCTTAACTGGAGTCTCGCTGTCTTCTGTCCAACCTGGATCAGCTTCTGTCCTTCAGGACCGTGTGGGGAAGAGCGTATCCCTCCAGGAGAGCGTATCAGGAACAAGCTCTTAAAAGAGCTAAGTGATTAAAGCTCAAGAGAGTATGCAGAGCATAGCAATCCCCAGTGTGATTTATAGCAGTCCCCTCCAATAACAAGATGCTTTGAAGGGTAAAGAAGAACTTACTGTACTGGCACATACAGCCTCTTTTATTCACATTCTACAAACATAGAACTGCCCACAGGGTTTTGAAGAACAACCAATCAACACATTACAACACAGCTAACACTCCCACTCATTACATCAGAAATCCTCCCCTCTGCCTGTGGTACAATTATCTCAACACAATAGACTAACTTAATTATCACAGACAGGAAAATACAGTATTATAAAACATATCACAGGGACCCCAAAACATGCAATAACCCCATACAATATCCTCGGAACCGGGGGATCTGGGTGAACCACATATCTAAAATTCGCCCAGATCCGTTCAGTTGTTTGGAAGATACGGTTTAATGCAGATTCTGCAGAACATATACAGGCTATATGAAAAATAATTATTGTTAAATGCGTCCCCTGTTCTGTAGTTTAAAACTACTGAACGATGTCTTTGTGCACCAAATACCTGCGAGATGGCACCGTGTAGAAAAGTCAAAACAGTGTCTGTGAGTTAAAATGGCCGCCATCCATTGTTCTCACCATGTGCCTCTGATACATGAAATGGTGGCCACCCAGTAACTCCACAGTTTGTCTGATAGTCTATACAGCCGAACCAACAGATGAAACACATGGGGAACAGTGCAACAAATGAAGGGAATCATAAAAAATATGGACAATAGTCATATTTGTGCACAATCTCCAGTTTTGTTACAGGGCACAAATAGTGTTTTCAAATGCCATATATCCCAGGGCCATAGTCATGTTGCAGGAGGCTGGCAATCAGTCCTCTCCAATGCCCAGTGGCAAATGGCAGTTTGTCAGAATACGATATTGGGTGCTCACTCACATAAGGCTTTATCCCCAAAAGCCCAAACACATGTAAATAACAATAGAGT